ATTTTTGTAAGGTGGGTGGACTTTGGATTGCCACTATAACGAATAAACACTTATTATCCCTTTATTTAATAGATAGACATACAAATCATTAAGTGACACTTTGTGACTTAAAAAACATATTTTTTATTGCAGATCTAATCATTATTAGTATTATATCGATACCAAATAAGCCGCTAGAAATCTTTTTGATGAAAAAAAATTAACAGACGAAAATGTCTTTCTTACGGGTCCGTTCTTCGTAAGGCCAAAATGTTCCAGATGGCATTAAAAATATACAATTCAGAAATCAGCACTCACGGTTGGAATATCGGAAACGATAAGAGATACGAAGTCGCTTAAGTGAGACGAAGTTGCGTATTTAGGTAACTAACAAAACGCTGCTTAGGAAATTTCGAAATTCAAAGTACTTCCGAAGAGAGACGGAAAAAACCGAATTTTCCCAAAATCGTTTTACTTTTTCCTGGCCTTATTTGTAGTGGGATTTCAAAGTAAATTGCACATCTTCTACAACATGGAATAATTAGAATTTCAATACGATGTTTCGTCGCTTGTCCCCCAACATCACCTTTATTTTTTCTTAGGAAAGCTACATTGGATCTATACATGATACGTCATACATTGACGACAAATTATAAGGAAATAACGAGATATGGTCAAACTTGAACACAAAATAAAGTTTTTATTAATGCTAATAACAATAATAATCATAAATAAGCAGAGGTAAATCATAGGTGATGTTCAAAATGTAATTCGTTATTTTGTAGGCAAAGCCTGACACTTTTCTGTATATTGTTCGCTGTACGATTTATTTTTCATTTTATCAGCCTCCCAAACTCTGTTACTATGTTCAATTTCAGGTCTGGTCTGGTATACGAAACAAATACTATGATAGTTTCAAGGCCTACTTAGGAAATTCTGCTTTTTCTGGAATAATTGAAGGTTTTAAATATGAATGTATAACATGATACATCTTTGGAAGCAGGATTAATAACTCTATTCACCTGCGCAAAAATCCAATACGTCCAAAAGAAAAAAATGAAGTTGATGTTGGAGGACATGAGACGACACGACATATTGAAATTCTAATTATGGCGTCTTCTGGAGGAGAAAAAGGTGTCAATGTTAATGTACAATTTATATTAACATCCCGCTACGAATAAATTCGGAAAAAGATTTAAACGACTTTGGGATTATTACATTTTTTATTCGTTTCTCTTCGGAAGTACTTTAAATTTCGAAGCTAAATACACAACTTTGCTCCCATTCAAGCGACTCTTACCGTTTCCGATATCCCAATGGTGAGGGTCGAATTTGAATCACCCTGTATACCCGACTTTCCCCTATAACTAAGAAATAATAATGAATAATAATATATAACTAGCGCAGTTGCTAGAATGCTGACGCTATGCTATATACGTATACTGTACGTTGATGTCTTTATTTAAAACCCCCCGTAGCGCAGTTGCTGGTATGCTACTGCAAAGCTAGCGATATTCTTTATCCCTATCTTCAATCATTTTTTATCCTTTATCATCTTTGATCTTACATTTATCGTTTATCCGTTATCTCTGACATTTCATCTGTTTTTATCCTCTATCTGTCATCTGTTAACTGTTATCGGTTATCGGTTATCTGTTACCAGTTACTTGTCACCTGTTACCTGTTATCTTGAAACTTGAACACAAAATAAAGTTTTTATTAATGCTAATAACATATTAATCATAAATAAGCAGAGGTAAATCATAGCAGATGTTCAAAATGTAGTTCGTTATTTTGTAGGCAAAGCCTGACTCTTTTCTATATATTGTTCACTGTACGATTTATTTTCCTTTTTACCAGCCTTCCAAACTCTTTTACTATGTTCAATTTCAGGTCTGGTCTGGTATACGAAACAAATGACTATGATAGTTTCAAGGCCTACTTAGGAAATTCTGCTTTTTCTGGAATAATTGAAGGTTTTAGATATGAATGTATAACGTGATACATTTTTGGAAGCAGGATTAAGAACTCTATTCACCTGCGCAAATATCCAATACGTCCATAAGAAAAAATGAAGTTGATGTTGGAGGACATGAGACGAAACGTCATATTGAAATTCTAATTACGGCGTCTTGTATAGGTGAGAAAGTGGCAATGTTAATGTTCAATTTCCCTGATTTACCGTTTCCAAGGTCCCAATGGTGAGGGTCGAATTTGAATCACTCTGTATACCCGACTTTCCCCTATAACTAAGAAATAATATTGAATAATAATATATAATTAATATTTCCATGGTTCCTAGATATTCTTAACAAACCACTTGTACCCTAGCAAGGCAAAATGCGAATTTTGGCTTTCCTAGGAGCTGTATCGATGATTTAACTAAAACGAAAAGTAATATTTTTTCTTTAGTACCGTAGTAATAATATGTTTATGTATCGATCCACAGTAAACAAATTGAAGCAAATAATAGTGAATTTACTTGAAAACTTACACTCTGTTGTGAGCTCGTATCATGATTTTAACGTCGACGCCCGGGGTCGACATGGCGAGGGATCTATCTCATTGACAAAATAACAACGCGAGAGGTTCGATGGCTGTTAGTGTGAGCAGAGGGACTTTGTCATCGCGTGGCAATAACCGCAACTTTTTAACAATCGACCTTCCATGGTCGATCTACCTTACTTGACATATACTAAGTGACATATAAATCCGAACACGCAATTTAAATGGTTTTATTTTAATAAAAGTTGGTGAATGTATTTATCTTACTGTAAATAACAAGTGAAAAAATTTTCAGCCTTATCAGTTGGACATTCCGGTTTTTATACTGCTTTTTTTTGGTTCTTGACTTAGTGAGTTTGATAGGGGCCGTATAGTGGGACTTCGGGAAGCTGGACTTTCTTTTCGGGCAATTGCAGTTAGAGTGCAAAGAAGTGTAGACACTGTGGTTAGGTGTTGTCAGGCATGGCTTCGAGAAGGCCGTACGCAAAGAGCAAGGGGCACTGGACGCCGCCGTAGAACAACAGACCGCGAAGATCGCCGCCTAAGATTATTGGCCTTAAGGGACCGTTTCTCCACTACCAGGTCCATTGCAAATGAATGGTTTGCAGAACACGGAAGACCTATTGGCATGCGAAGTGTTTACCGACGAATGAGAAGTTTTGGCTTGTTTTCATACCGGCCACACTGGGTCCTCCCTTTAACTCGAGAACATCGACATAATCGCCTTGAGTGGTGCAGACAACGGTCACTCTGGGATCAGGAATGGAACAGTATTGTCTTTAGTGACGAGTCTCGATTTTGTTTAGGCATGCACGATGGTCGTGCCAGGGTTAGAAGGCGACGTGGTGAAAGGAGGAATCCACAGTTTTTTGTTGAAAGACATGTTCATCACACTGTTGGAGTTATGGTTTGGGGTGCTATAGCTTATGGTTCCAGGTCACCTTTAATCTTCATCAGAGGTAACACGAACGCGCAGCGTTATATCCACGAAGTTCCAGAACCCCATATTTTACCCTATCTTGACACCCTGGCAGATCCAACTTTCCAACAAGATAATGCCCGACCACATGTTGCAAGAGTCACAATAGACTTCTTTCAATATAATGATGTCACATTGTTACCATGGCCACCAAGATCTCCCGACTTATCCCCAATTGAGCACGTGTGGGATATGATGGGTAGGAGATTGCTCAATTTGCAACGTCCTCCTCAGACTCTAGAAGCACTTCGAGAATAGATGGTGGTTGCCTGGAATGAGATACCACAGGATGACATTGACCAGCTGATCAGAAGCATGCCTACGCGCGTTGGAGAATGCGTAGCACATCAGGGTGCATCCACACATTATTAAAGGTCAAAGGGCTTTAAAGCAGTGCAATCATTTTGAAATTTTTATCATTCACTTATTATGCTTCATTAAGTACTTATACAAAATTTTATTAAAATAAAACCATTTAAACTGGGTGTGTGGATTTATATGTCACTTAGTATATATATAGTCGGACAATAGGTATAATAAATTTGAGCAATTCCTATGAAGTGTTTATCCGTCCCACGCACACTTACGGGGAAGTACCTACTGTAATAATTATGAAAAATTTCGAAAATGAGATATTTTTTGATTAATGTTATATGACATGTACAACACGAAAAACCATGTTACTCATTTCCACCAGTATGTCGGTATGTTTGTCCGCTAATCTATAGCTCGTCTATAGATTGAACAGTGAAAATCGGTTCAGTGGCGGCAGTGTGAAGTGCGCAATAAAAAAAATAAAAACCTCTCAAATCTCGTTTTTCACGATTCAGAGACCCCTTGTCATTTTTTACAGATAAAAACTGAGGGTTGTGAGTTGTGGAGGGTGTATCTCATGTTTTGGCGGCAGTATATTTATACACTTCTAGCCCAGGTAATTTTACGCTTCTATTAGTACATATTTGGCAATCCCTACAACTTGTCTGGTTTCTGGGCCGCCAGACCTGATATACTGACGACAGCCACTGACATTATAGTGATTATGACCTAAACCCTAAGGTCCTCCGGACCGCCTTGAGAAGCAACGACGAGTAGTTATATTTGGCAAATCATAGATTTTCCCCTATATTTGCCGTTAAAACTTAAATATTTACAGGCGGGACACGCGGTCGACCGGGACGATGACAAAAGTCATAAGCCAGACTGTGTGTTTCTTACTGGGTCGCCAGCATTCTCGATCTCGAGTTATAGTATCGTGGCTGGCGCTTGTGGCATGGTTGACTGATGCGGTTCTCCACCCTTGCCAGATGGACGATATTTAGGGCAAGGAAGAAGCTAGCGTAAGCGTTATTGAATGGGTAGGGTTAAGGACTATGGGTCTGTTTGGCTGACTTGATCCATTTAATTTTTTGTTATACATGTTTGCAGCTAGCTCACAGGGACTAACTTGTCGCTCTATGAACTGATGACAGCGTTGTATGGGAAAGTGCAAGGTCAACTTTCCTGAAGCCATTTTTTGAACTAATCTATTACTACTTACGACTAGGTACGAACGCCATGGCTATTCCACAAATTATTTCTAACGACCCAACTGTTCTTCGATACCATTTTGAAGGAATTTTGAAATCCAGCATCTCCGAGAATGGAAACACCTTGGCATACTTCACGAACTCTTTCCTCTGAAAAAAAAGGAAAATGATTCTTAACCTTCCATGAAATAACTATTGAACTTCAAAGTTAAGTGACATACGCATTTTCCTTGTTACTTTGGATCTTCATTAGGGGTTAATATTTGATTTTCTTTAGAGTTGCTAGCAGTTCTAAACAAAACTCTAAATATGGTTTTCTAGCATCTTATTTTCAAGAATCATAAACATTTTTCTCTTTATCCATTTTCAGAACATACGTTTGATTATATTCAATAATAATAATTTAATACTCATATAGCTATTTTCGTAGAATCCAAACCCCGATAAGGTTGAAGTCGTTGGAGTATAAAAATAAAAAAGATTTCAAATGTGGTGAATTTGATAGTCACCTGCACATACATTTGATGAAGTTTGCACTTTCATCAAAATTAAGCTGCTTGCATAACGAGAATGGTTATGTATGAGTCTAAGACGTAAAGCAGGCGTTAAAAGTTACTTCACCCCTATGAATGCATGGGAGCTGATGGGCTAAAAACTGTAAAATAGGTCTTGGCGCCCAGAAAACGTTCATGACATAGGCTTTAATGCCTGATTGTCGAAAAATAATGATAATATTGTGTGTGATTGACCATATATCCATGTTTTTTTTTTTGTAAGCAAGTACCCAGCTAGCGCAAGCACGCCTCATTTGGTGATAACTCGTCAACTGACATGATTGTACAAAATATCGACATCGTAATGAAGTCTACTAAGTGTCCAGTTTTGTACGTGTACTGCAAGACGTTGTTATTACGTGTTTTTGAGTATTACAATATTTCATATGTACGATGTTTTTGTTAATTTAGAATCACTCTCTCCGATTCAAAACGGATCAAGTCAGCGGGAAGAGAAATAATTATCTGGTCCCATTTCGCATTGACGTTCACCCAAAGCAACTCGAGGTTGTCTGAAATAACTGGTTATTAAGATGGTGATAAGCGTTACCGTATACCCTATTTCACGACTATCCATCACGCTTCGACGTCTACTCAGGTGAACAGCTGATCAGCAAGTGACATTTTTGTCTTAGTCTGCAACGTTGGAAATAATGAGTCGGATGTAAATCTAGTAAAACTTGTTTGCAGCGTTTTGTTTTTTATATGCAAAATATGGCATTGTCTGCCTGGCATTGCGGATCCGTTGTAATGATGTGTCATTTGCGGTCCGGAAATTGCGGATATGAGGAATTTTTAAGTATTACTAGACAATCAGCTGTCATTTTGCCGTGAGGATACTGGTGAAAAAGACTATATAATGTTGCATTTCTGTTCTACATTTTTAGTGTTCCGATATATAATATTTGATGATTTTTAAGTATAAGTGTGAGTGCAAAATGAACTAAAAAATTACCTAATTGAACACAACATTTACATAGTACACAAAAAACAAAAAATGCATATCACATTTTAGCTATTCGATTAGCTAATCTTACAACGCTATATCCAGTGACAATTGACAGTGAACGACAATCGCAGAGATCGCTGCAATCAACGCTGTTCAAGGTCCTGCCATCTGTACTCGGTACCCGCGTCTCATTGCTCTGAGTATTCCCAAAATATAAGAAATACTCCATTTTGAAAATAGTTTCGGGCTAACGTGACTTTAATTCTCTAGCATGCGTTTAATGCATATATGTTACCCGTAGTGCTTATTACACAGCTCATATGGTGTGAAAATGAAAACATTCGCGTAGTGTACCCACTCCAAACGTCGTGTAAACTGGTGAAGTGAAGCATGGGGAGCCCAGTAATAGGTCGCCTTTCGTCGCTAGAGGAGCAGCACCGAACCAGTGTAACAATGTGTAGCCTATGGTACCCCGTATGTGTAATACTACTGGTCACTCGATATATGATTTTTTGAAGAAGCTAAAACTGGTTCTTCACTATAAATAATAGGCGTCATCTTCACGTGCAGCAAGTGACGTATTATTGACGACTGCCATACGACGTCATTGGTATGTCACATTATGAGGTCAGTTTCGCGTTATTTTTACGTCATTCAACTCGTCATTTCTCGTCATTTTACGTGCTTGTGCTACCTGGGTAATGGATCAAGGGCCGACGGCAAGGTTTTGATTACAAACTTGCCACAATTGCTGTTTAGCAACGACATAAGATTCTACTAGTTTTTAACAGATAGCCGAATGCGATCTAGCCAGTACTTTACCTACTATAATGCACCGGCTGAAGACATTCCACGAAGTATCTTATCTTCATATAACTACACTTTGTCAGCATGATGGAAATTTTAAGTGAACGTGCAAATACTGCATAGGATGTACACCCTCTTGGAGAATGCTTTATTCAATGGTGTAAATTTTCATTAGGAGTTTTGTATCAAAATCGCTTGATCGCGAAGCAATTTTCTGCAAGGACTGTACTATATACTTTGGCTGTTTGCCCTGCTAGGCAGTCGAGCCGGTGGCAAATATTTTAAGGCGCGCTGTATAGATATTGTTGCGAATCTGCGTCACTGGCCACTAGATCGGTCGTGCCAAACGCATATATTTTGCCTTTAATTTACAATTCGAAACATATGTGTATTGTTTATTAGGTACTGGAAACAGTTCTGCATGAATTTGGCTCGTGTGACAAGAATAGTCAAGCGAATTTTCATTTTAAAATAGTTACAGATTTTGATGCGGCCAAGAACTGAAGGATTGCAAACCGTGCGTTTTGCTTGAACTGTCTTAAGGGGGATGTATAGATATACCCTATTCCACAAGTATCCTTCACGCTTTGATGATTACTGAGGTGAACAGCTGATCAGCAAGTGACATTTTTTTGTTAGTCTGCAACGTTGGCAATAACGAATCGGGTGTAAATCTAGCAACAATTGATTCGTAGCGTTTTGTTTTTTGTATGCAAATGAAATTTTCTAAATGAATGAGCTTTTAGCAAGTACAAATTGAATCTGAAGCGTACAAAAAATGAAAACAAAATATGGCTCTGTCTACCTGCCATCGACGGATCCGTCAGAATTATGTGTCCTTTGCCGATATGGGGAATTTTGAAATATTACTAGACAACCAAATGTCATTCTACCATGATGGATACTCGTGAAATAGGGTGTATAGTTGAAGAAACTGATTGGTCAAATAAGCAATTTGAGGTTAGAAAAAAATTGAATTTCAAGGGTACCTTTCTCTTTTGTTACTAAACTAAATGATGTGTAATACTCCGCGTCGGGTCCAAAAAGTTTAATAGCTATTGGATGACATAGAGGTTTTGAGAAAACTGTTTTCATAGAGTTATGAAAATATATTCTGTTCTCAAAACTTCTTAGTTGTCACATAGCTTTGACTTTAAGTGCCCTACGGGGAACATTATACAATTTAGTGTCATAACAAATCAGGAATATCTGCTTGAAGCTCATTTGTTTTCTAATCTCTAATTGCTTATTATTTTAATTGTCAAATGGTGCCAAATCGTTCTGTTTTTATTCTTGCGGTCCGTCGGTTGGCATGCGCAAAATCAACTAGGACCTGATGACTTGCGCGCGAATTAACTTGCTTGATGGAAAGGCTGTGTATGCTTGATGTTTTTTTCGCTAATCCTATAACCGCCCATAACTCGAGAAGTACCGCTCGGATTTCGATGAAATTTTTACGCAGTGTTACTACTATGTCAAGAACGCAAAAGCTTGTGGTAAAAACACAAAAAAAACGCTCTAACTTTGTTTTTTGGTGTTTCAGAGGTTCCTGATCATTTTCAGAAAAAAAATGTAGGAGTTGAAAATCTTATGCACCTATCAGCACATATTTCACACACAGATTTCCTCGTAAATTTGCCCTTAGTACTTAAGAGAAGCATTTGTGCGTCAGCCCTCTCCTATTGTGAGGTTACATTTTCCTTTTGAATCTTAATTTTATTTATTTAAATTTTAGGATTATGAAACAGATGACAAAAATCAAGTTTTATCAGTCTGAAATTTCTTACAATTCAAAAGGAAAATATAATCTCAAAATAGAGCGCTAACACGAAACAGGAGAAATCTAGAAATACCCCTCGTTCTGACGGACACATCATACAATAATTGTAGGACGCCTTCATGGCCTCCTTGATTTTCATAGTTTTCTACTGTTACCCGCCAGGGGACTATTTTGAGGTTATGTTACAAATATATATTTGCATCAAATTGTTCATGCTTTTGATTTATATCAGCCTGAAATTTCCTACAATTCAAAAATAAAACATTCCTTCAGAACAGGAGAGCTCATAAAATTTTCCACATTTCGAAAATCTGTGATGGCAACTCTTTAGGGTCGTATCGTCAGTCGTTCCTACAATTAATTGTAGGACCCCTTTTTAGTCAACTTGACTTTCATAGTTTTCTACTGTTCTCGGCCAGCGGTCTATTTTAAGGTTATGTCACAAATATCCACTTGCATTAAATTGGTTTATATCATCTGTTTTATCAGACTAAAATTTCTTACGATTCAAAAAGAAGACATAACCTTACAACAGGAGAATGCTGACGTTGATACGGAAAAGTAGCAATCTAGAAATGCCCCAGCCTTTCTGAAGGAGAGAAAGGATTATAAAAATCAAGGACGGCCATAAAGACGCCCTACAATTTGTAGGAACGACTGACGATATGGTCCTTAAAGCAGGGCAGAAGCTAGCGTTAGCCTTTTCAAATGGGTGGGGATCCTGGAGTATGGCCTAACTGCAAGAGCCTGTTTGGCTGACTTAATGAATTTGAGTTTTTTGTTATACATGTTTGTAGCTAGTTCAGAGGGACTAACTTGTGCCGTACAGTGTAGTTTATGAAATGATGAGAACGTTGCGTGAGAAGAGCTATTTTTTGATTATAGTATTTAGATTCAATACTCCCAAGTGTACGTGTAATCTAATCAAAAAATTAGTTCCCTTAAATTAGGCTCCACTACAGTTTAATATTTTTCTAGAGACTTTTTCGAATTCAGCGCTTCAAATCACCTATGTACGTATACCAAGATTCGCTTAAATCAGCAGGAGACTAAACTAGACACCTTTCGCTACAAAAATCTATAACTCTTTAAAGTTCCTTATGAGAACTTTATTCAAAAAACACCTGCGTATATCTGTATCCAAAATTTGTTTTCTGGGTAAACCGGTCGCAAATGCGCTATTATTTAAACGCTGCTCAAACAAGTTCAGTAATTTATAAACCACAGAGGGCACAGCGCAAAGCTCTTAAAAACAACACTGAGCTTACAAAGAATCTTCACACCTGTTTGTTGTTGTTTCGTTCGTCGACTTTGTTGGCGTTAGTCTCACAGATTTGTATATTACAAGCTTTTCAGCAACACATCGATGATATTATGCATCATTACAGGAATTTTCTAGGTAAATTCTTACATGCACTATGAAATAATTGAGAATGATTTGACTGTAGCATATATGTAAATTAATATTGCCTAATATCCTATCGATATGAGCAATTTTGTTGCTTTAACAGTACGACGCAAAATTTTCAACTTATCGGAAACAGGTGGTAAATTGTGAAATAAGCTTTACCAGGTCTTGCAATTTCAACTATTTATGAAGATATTGAATGCCCATCTCCCGTCATGTTCTCTAAAATGACTGTTCTAACAAAAATGCAACATAGGTGTTACATAAACAACAGAAAAAGATCAATAACTCACCAAATCTTTGTGCAGATCCTTGGATATCACGCTGGAGATCTTGATTAATCCAACAAAAATGAAAAAAAGGCCTAACAGAACGGATAAAGACCGAAGGACTATCGTGCCTACTTTCGGGTTATGCATTTTCGGGCCGTCAAAATTTGTCACTTAAAAATAGACGCTAGTACATGATTTTCGGTGAGAATTCGCAGTTTTTCGAGTGTGGTTATCGCGGTTGGCGCGGTGTTTTCGATCGGGGATGCCTGCCCATTTTGAACGCTCTGCGGTGACAGCGCGTCGCTGGCGTCGTGAAAATCAATATTGAACGCTTTCCATGCCGTGCAACTACTACGCGTGCTAAAAATATATGCTGTCGAAATGTGTCTCTTTGTACCCTAACACAGCGATCATTTCATATACCGCGCAATCGAGAATTTTCTTTCTCACATCAACGGTGTTCCACGGGGATCGATATGAGCCCCAACATTGCATCCTGTGACTCTTTATATGCGCCCACCCAACTATCCTTTTATTCGCCGCGCACCATCACTAAGCCATTGAAAGAAAACAGGGATTCATTCTATTCCGTCTTTACCCTTAAGAGCACAGGGGCCGTATCAAACTTTGTAGGGGACAGGGGGCACCCAACTGTGACGAATCCAAGGTAAAGCGTAAACTTTGAAGTAGGTACCTATACATTTTGTGAATGCTAAAATTTTAGAAATTCAGGTAAATCTTTTTGTTTTGCAACACAACAACAACAACAACACTTAGGGTGCGATTATGTTGGAGATTCGATCAACGGTAGGTAACAGCGGCGATACTAGCGAAGCGAGAAAATTATTTCGTAGTTTTATATGCAGGCCATTATAGTGGAGCAACGAGTTGAGACACGCTCGGAAGCAAAGCAAAGTTAACAGCGTCGATAATTGTTTTGTCTATTTTCTTCGTTTTTATCACAAGTGGTTGCAATACGGATATACACAATTTAATAAGTGAAATATTCATCAGGCCCGCTTTATGGGACCCAAAAGGCAGAAACCATCATAACAGATTTGATATCTACAAATTAGTAGACTCTCCAAACTTGTATCTGGGTATTTATAGGATGTGCAGATAATTTTCGCTTTCTATAATATAGAAATCTCGTTAAGTTGTATTTTGAAACACATAGGTATCTACCTTAGAGCCAGAGACTGAGTTAATTTTTGAGCTTTGTATGTTAGCAAGTCCATGATATTGTGAATTTTCATTTGCTTCTTCTTTCTTGCATCATCTAATACCTACCTTAGGTATAATAATAATAAGGAAGCAACTTTATAAAAAATGCTAAATTACACACAGGTACCTACTGGAATGGGAATTCACAATAATATCATGGACTTATGTAAACAATATATATAACACTCATTTTAGGCAAAAATAGACTTAACCTTAGCCTGACTCTGAGGCACAAAATCGTACCTATCTACGATTTTTTCCACGCATCCAATATTATTTCAAAATCCACCCATTTTTATAATAGGCGGCATCCGTTTTTTTAATGAATTTATCATTTTTAAACACCACCACTATATTTTCCAAAACACCTCCTCAATATCTTTAAGTGCATCGTGCATACTCCATTTTTTCAGATTGCCTTCACCGTATGTCTAAATACATCCAAGCTTATTATAAAACCATTAAATATATCTACCATTTCCTCCTTGCGCGATTATTACTGCTCCCGACTGTACATTTCATTTTTATTATATCCGCGGACAGCCCCCTCTGGAACGTATTGATGGTCTTTCTTGGTGCACATTACTTCAACAAACAGATGGCAGCAGGGTCGTGTATGCAACGCAGGCAACCCACATAGCTCTTGTGGTAATCGCTGGTAATTGTCTTACTTCACATTGGAAGTAACGACAGCTGTCAATGTTATTGAGCCGTTACTACTGTCTAGTGATGCAAAGTTTCGTTACTTTTTAGGACTTGTAAGGACTCGTTACTTTCGAACTTTGGACTCGTTAGTTTAGTTACTATTTGGACATTTCGTTTAGAACCTACATTCTATATATTATATCAAATTATTACTTTGGGATTGATCCAATTATTATTTTTTGTCTAATGCCTTGCCTATTAATTTTTTTGATATTTGATACATAGAAGGTACTTATATTTTAAACTCGTCGTTTTGTGACGTCTGGTTCGTTGGCTGTACGCTGTAAATAGTATTTTAACAAGTGGCATAACCAGACGGGGACCGTGGAGGAACCACTCTCCTCACTCTTTACTTTAGTTGAGTAGCGTCCCCTGCCCTAACAGTCTGGTTGCTCCCCTGCCCTACTTAACAGTCTGGTTACTCCACTGTAAATGGTGTTCAACAAAATACTTATAATAATAAAACATACCTGAAACTAAGTTCCTTTTGCACCTAGGCATATTTTCGTCTTCCACCCGCCGTTTTACCCTTTCTCCTTCCAATGAAAGAGTCGGATTTTTAATTTTCAAATGCTTCCTTAAATTGCTAATGTTTCCATTTTTATGCGAATAAATATTTTTACATAGATTAGACTTTGCATTAGCTTCCGATATATTGGTGAAATGCATCCAAATAACACTTCTTTTTTGAGTTTGCGATTCTCCTGAACCGGACGCGGATGATTCCATATTTTTGTACAAATAATAATTATATTATTGCTCGAGCTTGTACGGCAACGTCCAAACCAGTAACAACCCGCCAACCGCTAGCTCTCAAAGTCAAATGAAAAGTGTACAGGTGTACACAAACATTGCCAACCCAAAGCTCCGCAGTCCGCAACTCGTTTGATAGAAGAGTATCTAAAGTTGCCTAAGCCTAACGATATTCGCATCATTTCATTTCCACCCAGTTTACATCGAAGAACCAAGTCACTTGCTGCTGGCGCTGGCAGTACTGGCTACATTGGATCTCAGTAACGTTTGTATCTAAAGTAATGTACAGTGTAGTAACTAACAGTAATTAAAAAGTATACATAGAAAAAGACCGTATCGCATTCAAAGTAACGAATTCAAATAAAAAGTAAGGAGTCTTTTCAAAAAGTAGGACTCGTTACATTTAGTTACTCATTTGTAACGATTATTTTGTAAGCGTTACTTAATTATTTTACATCACTACTACTGTCACCTGTCTGCCGTGTTTGCAAATTGTCAAGGTTTTTTACTTCTCCCTTATTTTTTCTTTTCCTTTATTTGAATTTTATATTTATTTTGAAGATAAATATTTTTGACTAATCTGCTTGAATTAACCAAGTCAAATTTATCAAACGGCATCTACAAAGAACCGATACAGTGTTACCCAGTGGTACGTATCCGTGTACGATAGGTAATTATATTCCAGGTTATGTGAACTGAATTTTGTAGGCCAGCAAAGATTAATGTCAAGGAATGCCCTCGACGATGCGGCCCAAGGGCTCCAGCGGTTCAAGCAGGTCCACCCCAGTGACTCCTATGTCAGAGAGACAGCAAATGGCCTTGCTGTTGCAAATGACCTCAGGTGGGGATGCAGGATCCCGCAGCCCTAGCTCCAGCAGCTCTCGCTCTAGAGAACGCAATGAACGAGGTGAAACCCCGCTACATATTGCCGCGATTAAGGGAGATGTTGATCAAGTTGTGAAATTGCTCACTCACCGTGCTGATCCTAATGTTGTTGATTTTGCTGGTAATGACCATACTTTATACATCTTGGGAATCTGTCATTTGCTGCCAATTTCTCATTTAAACAATAAGTAGGACATGAAATCCCAATGAAGGCACATAGAACTGTACCCCTTAAATGGGGGTTCAAAAACTTTTCAAGCACTTTTATTGGCTAAGCGGTCCCCAGGAAAAAATTGATATGGTCCCTGCTATATTTTTTTACAATGAATCGTGCCAGCATTTTTAATAATGTTTATAAAAATGTTATACTGTTTATAATCCTAATTCAAACAAATGCTAGTCTGTAATGATGATATGAGACAATGAAAACAACTGTTTTAATGGTTTAGTACATACAGTAATGGACAAAAGTATATAGAAAATATAAATATTTACCTGAATACATTTAGAAAACGAATTCATACTTTATTGCTCCATAAACAAATGCATTATTAGTAACAAAACTGAATTCCTTGTTTTTACATTATCTGCAATGAACACAATATAAGTCTGAATATAAGCACTTTAATGAGGGACATAAATATGTAGACTATTGCTTTTCAATGTTAGTTTAGTACAGTTTCATGTCAGAAGAGAATTAGTTTATGTTCATCAAGTATTGTGAAATAAGTTGATTGATTTTAAGACCATGCCATGTGGTCCAGAAATGTCTTTCAATATGAAAACTAAGATCATTGAGTTATACAAAGATGGTCAACGTCAAGTCGACATTGCCAAAAATTTGAAGCTGAAGCGTGAAGCAGTTTGGGCAATATTGAACAAATATAAACAAAAAGGTATCTTGGAAGCCTCTAAGAGAATTGGTTCACCTAGAGAACTAAATGCTAGATCAGTTAGATTAATAAAAGTAATTTTGTCCTAAGATCCGTTTAAAACCCCAAGACAAATAGAAGCCGAAATCGAGACAAAAGGAATTGCCAGTGTTTCTACGAAAACTATAAATAGAAGATTAAATGATTTGAAGTTATTCGCACGTCGCCCGAGTAAGAAGCCGCTAATCTCGAGGGAAAACCGTAAGGACCGATTACAATTTGCACGGTTGCATCTTGATTGGAGCATCTGTGACTGGAAGAGGGTATGTTTCAGTGACGAATCCAAGTTCAATATGTTTGGATCAGATGGTGTTCATTACGTTAGACGTCCTAGAGAACAAAGATTGAACCCCAAGTACAGTTTGCCCACTGTCAAACATGGAGGCGGGTCCGTTATGGTTTGAGGGTGCTTTTTGGGGCTTGGGATGGGACCTTTACATAGAATAGACGGCATTATGGATAAGTTTGTATGCACAGACATACTAAAGCATGTCACGTTACCCTATATGGAAGACAATATGCCATTAAGATCAATCTTCCAGCAAGATAATGGCCAGAAGCACACTTCAAATCTCGCAAAGAAAATCTTTCTGGGTGGAAAAATACCAGTTCTCAAATGGCCTTCACAGTCTCTCGATATAAACCCTGTTGAAAATCTATGCGAATACTTAGATAAGCAAATACTAGATAAAAATTATTCAAACAAGGATGAACTGTTTTCCGCTTTAGAGCAAAAGTTGAGACAGATTGATGAATCTTATATCAAGAATTTCTACAATCTATGCTGAGATGATGCCAGGTGGTGATTGATAATAATAGTTATGCTACAAAATATAACATAAAATATAACACAAGCATCGTTGGTTTTCTATAATTCAATAAACTTTGCTTCTTTTTTCTATAATTGTTCCATCATTCTACACAGACACTGTTAACCTTCGGCCATCTGTCAAAAGGTTCATATGTTACTGACGATTCTATGCCAATGTTTTGTTTTTAATTTGTTCTTGTCATACAGCTGTGTGTAGTTTGTATAATTTTGACCATTGTACCATGTATCCAGCTTTCATCATGTTACTGGGTGTTTCCCTCATCCTTAACGTACATAACATTTAGCAACATCGTCACATACTACTCTCCTGATGATGATCGCAAAGACCATTGAAAGCTAGAGAGATTAAAAAAGTATAAAGAGTCCTCCTTGCTTAAATTTTGTCGAAGTACCCAACAAAAGGCGGAAGCTTTAATTTTCACCTATACAAATCAGAAATGTTTTTGAGCCAATAGAAGTGAGAGGTGATTTGGAGCCACATGATGATAAAATGCATCAAAGACATACTGAAATGTTAATTTCTATCAGTATAAAGTGTGATGCCTAGGGTGTCAGTCACTAGACCATCTTGGGCTCTTGCTGTTTTAACTAATTAGGAATAGAAATGGTCCACCTAAATATTTACCCTACTAGCAGTAAAGTTTGCACAAGGTCTCTATCATAAGCTTCAGAGATATCCCTTTTACAAATATGTAATCCTATCTAAATGTATTTGAATTGAAAAAATATATAATATACAATAAATTGTGAGGAACTCTGAATTCATATAAGATCAGAAGATAAGAGATGTCAAGCTCACATAACTCTTCAAGGTAATCATATAGACATATATGACCTGAAGAGTACTATTTTATAAAGGTGGATTAAACGCAGTTTGAATATGAAGAGTTACAGGCTCTAAAACCCCTATCACTCAAAGATGATTATTTAAAAAAGAAGATGACACTTTAATTTACACATCGAGCAATTAGAAACTATCAGGCTCTGATAGTCATGAAAACAATATAGCAGCACTAAGGTCTAGTATGAGTGTAGCATAAGTAGTGTAGTTGATTTAACAACACAATGTAAGAACTAATCCTTATCCTTCTAAGAACTTTGTTTTTTGTGGTTGTTGATGTTTTTTTTTTCAGAGCGTGAGAGCTACTTTTGCTAATAAATAATGTGGTCCTACTATTCTAGCCTCAAATCAAAAATAAGAATATTTTATAGAGAAGTTTAAATTCTATTTCACAGGAAATGCCAGTTTAAATAATTTATATATTTTAGTATGGTCTCTTGTTAGCTATGAATGAGGAAACATTTGTATCCCTAAGATGTGAGAGGATCGTGACGATTTGTTTTTGGAGAAAATTCAATAATCAAAAACATAACATTTGCACATTTTGACGCAGCTATATGATCTCGTTTTCTATCTGCTTTTTTGAGCAGGGAGAGTGTACAATAACATAGTAGCACAGTGTTTGATATATTACTAGTTTTCTGCTGAACTTCAGATAATCAAGGAATATAGTGACACACCCAACATTTCGAAACATAATGATCAGTTATCCTAGTAGAATTTCAAATTTATTAGTCACCTCATTTTTCTTTGTCTGAAAAAGGAGAGAAAATCCACATTACATACCTAGATTCAGAGGTGAACCATCAATGGTCGAGTACTTTTATACTCTGAGGCGGATAGCGGCGAAGGATATGGTCGAGCTATGTATCTTTCACTACTGACACTATGGCTAGGTTTTTCAATCATAAGTTAACTTTCTGGTTAATTAACTATAACTAGGAAGTTAATTTTAGTTTCTTTCAAATGCATTTTTCAAGTATTTTGACAGCGCCAGTTAACTTACCATAAGTTCATCATATACGAGTATTTATGTTGCAACGCTGCATATCTGATTTGGAGTTCTGTGAGAGTTGTGCGCTCGTCTTGTGTCATATCCTCATACCATCATACGTGTCATACATGACAGCTCGTCTTTTTTTAATTAACTTTTAGAAAATAGCCGAAATTTGAATAAAACAAGGTTGGGTCTTTCAAGAATTGCTTGTACAAATGTTTAGTACTAGATTCTATAGACGGAATTATACAAATGCACATAAAGAAGGTGGCAAGTGCAATGTTTAATCAACCTTACATATGTTAAAAAACGCTAAAAATACAATTAATTTTGTGAATATCTGTTGAATATCGTGTTTGTCACCTTTTTAGCGTCACTTCTATAATCCCCGACCCAAAAATGAAGGTCTTCAGCATTGGAGAAAAAATACGGCCATTAGTGTTGCCGAAATGTATAAAAAATAATAGAGAGCAAAAAGGTGGCTCAGTTTCCATGGAAAGAGAAAAGAAGAGAAAAGTTCTGTTTCTACAGTTCTTTTTCTAATACAAAATCTTGCGAGGAAATCCTGGTCGCCTAATTCGTTAAAGTAATTTGGCCAATGGCGGATTATTTTTGGCTTTCTTGCCTCTTCGTCTGATCGTGTAATCATGTAATCAACTCAGCTTTTTGATTGATATTTACTGATAAATTGATATGAGTTTGTGAATTTTTGAATAAACGCCAAAGTCTGGGTCAACACACGTCTGGTATTGCTATTTAACGACAACCTTTCTAGTTAACTCATAGATGTTCTTCTGGCTAATGTTTACTACCGTTTTGCTATAAACATGATACTGAAAAACTTTTTTTTCTCATAGATAACCATATGTTAAGACCAAGGTCGTAGTTAACCTGCGACTGAAAAACCGGCACAGCTATTACGTATCTTGAAAGGTGACATTTCGTCGTTTTTTTTTGTCATTTTGTAGGTTTTTTGTGACATAGCATAGGTTTTTCTAGAGGGTCTTAACTTTGCACAAGGTGTTGTACACTTGGTGTGAACTCGTTTTGAGCTGTCAGCGAATAGCGATTATAGCGAGCAAACGTGCAGAATGACATTTCCTCGATTCTTTGAAGTTTTCTTGGGTTTTTTACATAATCCCCCTGCAGTCCTATAAGTCACTACATTTATATACTCGTATTTCCATTCTATAGGGACATTCACGTTAACCTATACGTATATAAGTTAACGATCATAACGTTTCAATACTTTCCCGATTATTGACATACCCACGATAGGGAGCTGCATGACATGGTATTAGATATTTTTCACTTGTTTTCAAATATGTCGGAATATCAAATTCATTCGTCAAGCTGACAAAATCGTTTTTACCTAGACCTAGAGGGAGAAAAGCTAACATATGTCTAAACGGGGCATTGCGGCCAATAATACGGGTTTCTCTTGTTGCTAGTGAAAAATGCTTTGTGTCATACAAATTTAAATAACATGGACAGGTAAATATCGGGGAATTTTGTTTGGAATTTAAAGTGGACGCCTTAAAGGTGCACGCTTATTGATGAGAAGTTAAGCAAAGAGGAGAGAAACGAATCTGTGCATACCTGCAAATGCCGTCGCGGATCCTCAATTGAATGAGATTTGATACAGAGATAGATTATAGTCCGGGAAATTTTCGTGTCTCGGGAAATAATTGTGAAATATCTATTTCACGGGTTACAGCCCAAACACATTAATGGACTTTGACACGAGGATTCTGACGTAGAAGCGGCCAGTCACTGGTCCGACCGAAATGAGTAAGGGTATACGAGTATAAGAAGCGCATTTGTACCGTGTATTTACTGCATTTTGTCATTCGTTTCTTTAGCGTGATCGACTTGATTTAGATTTGTTTGGTGTTTTGTTTTACTTCTATTTTAATCTGTATTGTTTCTATATGATCTTTATTAGAATTTTTGAAAGTACCGGTAACAAGCTGATTGGTCTAAGATGTTTTAGTTTAGTAGGATTTGAGATTTTAGGGACAGGCATAATTAAAGCCAGCTTCCACTATTTAGGTACCCTTTTTCTAAACATAAAGTCATTATGCGAGTAATATGAAATAAAGCTATAGGAAGGCTTAGTTTACTCATAGTTAGTTAGAGTATCAATTTCGGCGACAAATTACCTTTGTTATTCTAAAACTTTTAATTTTTCCAAATAATGCGCGATTGTCAAGTTTTTTGGGGTATCCGGTATTTCATAGACAGACTCGCTGTAAGTATACGCAGACTCGACGATAAGTTCGCGGATGAACCTTCCTCGGGTATGAATGTTAACGTCTCTTTGTATTGTGGTTCAGACGTGATGCTCTATCTATTGTCATAGAAACTGTTGCATTTTTTGTCTGGAAGCAATCTCCCTCAAACTAATGCAAGACGTATCCTATACCTTACACTACTTCCAAGCGAGCAGATCCATGGATTTAGGCTAGTAACTGATAAACATAAAATTTCATTATCTTGTTCCAGGTTGGACTCCTCTGCACGAGGCATGCAACAGAGGCCGCTACGAAGTGGCAGTTCGGTTAGTGAACGCCGGTGCAAACGTCAACGCGCGTGGCCTTGACGATGATACGCCCCTCCACGATGCTGCGGCCAATGGACATATCGGATTGGCCAGGATGCTGGTCGAGTATGGGGCCGACCTCAATGCCTACAACTCCAAGGGGCAGACTCCATTGGATGTCGCGGCTCCTTCTGTCAAGCCATATTTGGTTGATCTCAGCCTGCCTCTGCCAGGTAAGTGCTGGATGCATTGTGTTACATAAACAGAGTGGTCAATTAGTCACAGGAAGTATCAGAGAAATTAAACTCTGATCAGGAAAATATACATATTATGTCTATCGTTTCAAATACTGTTCCCTCAATCTGCCTATAATAATAATTATAGTAATAATAAAGCATATATTGCCCAACAGTATAAACCATTTACAGAGCAATGGGTAATAAAAAACAGTTAATGTACTAAATTTACTTAAAACTAACTTTAGCGAAACTACAAATTGACACGACACTGGGTTCTTATTTCTGAAAAACTGCAGCAGAAAATGTTACAGACGTTAGACAGTTTGTTCGCGCTTGCACACATTTGATTAATAGGTGCTTTCATTAATATATTTGTTTGAGCTCTTTTACATAAAAACATGTAATGATATCTAGCATTAAGTCTATATTTAGCTGTGATAACAGGTCGACAAAGTCAATTTTGCCATTTTTTAGTTTATGCAAAAATAAAACAGATGCCTGACCTCTACGGCTCTCTAAAGTTTGAAAGTTGAATCTGTTCACAAGCATCATATAATCACTACCTCTTTGTGGATATACCCCATCAAGCTTGTAAGATAAGTACTTTAGAAATTTTTTTTTGACCTTTTCGATACATGTTTTATAAATATTGTAAATTGGGTTCCATATTAGTGAACAGTATTCTAATTTCGACCTGACTAGACTGGAATACAATAAAGTTAGTGCCGACAGATCAGTAAAAAGCTTACAGTGTCTTATGATAAAGCCATATGATCGAAACGCATTCATAATAATTTGATTAATATGTGAGTTGAACGTTAACTGACTGTCAAAGCAAACGCCTAGATCTCTGATTGAGTCAGTTCTCGAAAGGTATGTACCATTGATTGTATAAGGATATAGTATGGTGGAACGTCGGCTAAAGGTTACTATTCTGCATTTGGAGATATTTAAATGCAGATGATTTTTAATACACCAGTCATGTAAAACACAGTCTTCTGGACATGCAATGGATGCATACATTTTTAGGTCGTCCGCAAACATTAATTTATTGCATTCCAGTGAAGTGCATAGGTCATTAACATATAACAAAAATATTAGAGGTCCCAAATTGGACCCCTGTGGTACTCCACTAGTAGAAACATAGTAACCAGATGTGGTTGAATTAATGTGAACATATTGCCGTCTCTGATGCAGATAAGATTTTAGAAGATTTAAGAAAGAACTATGAAGGCCTAAAGAAAAAAGTTTGTGGAGCAGAATACTGTGACTGATTTTATCAAATGCCTTAGAAAAGTCAACATAGACAGTATCTACCTGACCCCGTTGATTGTTTCGCACAAATATTGGTTGAAGATTGCAAGGTTACTAATAGTTGATCGAGAACGTACAAAACCATGCTGGTAAACTGAAATGTAATTTTTTGCACTTTCATAAAGACGGTCGTGTAAAATAATTTCTAAGAGTTTCGCTGGATTGCAGAGAATAGAAATTGGTCTGTAGTTGCTTATAACATTTAACTGTTGCGACTTGTGTATAGGGCATACCTTAGCAATCTTCCACACTTCAGGAAAAGTTGATGTCTTGAAAATTCGGTTGAAAATAGCTTTAAGTGGGTGAAGTAGAACTATTAAGCAATCTTTGAGAAAAAATGAAGGAATCTGATCATGTCCTGACGATAGTTTATTTTTTAATTTCTTTCCTGCCTTCAATATTTCTTCCTCCGTTATTGATTCGACACTCACATCCAATGTATCAGTGAGATCCGGACTGAATGTTAGGTTCTCTTCGGCATCAATGTCAGCCGAAGAGAGGGTGCTCTCAAAAAAAACTAACAAAGGCATTGACTACACTTTTAGAATCACTAAACGTTTCATTATTATAAATCATCTTGGCTGGGATTCTAGAGGTTCTGTTTTTTTTGGTGAATAAATGACCAAAATGATTTAGGATTCAGCTTTAACTGATTTTGAATAAGCTGAAGATAGCATTGATAATCTTCCCTAATTTTCTGTTTCAATTTCAGTCTGGTATTACTAAAAAGTTCGTAATCAGCTAAGATTCCGGTTGATTTATGCCTTTTGTGTCATTTAGACTTATGCTTAACAAGTTTGATAGCTTCCCTTGTATACCACACAGGATATTTATGACGAGAAACTTTATGAAGTGGCAGTGGCCTATGAGACGACTCCACGATATCATTATTTAGGGTGCGATCTAAAAACTCAGAAAATAAGGAGTTTTTCTGTAGTCCAGAAAGTATCTTCGCAAAATATTCTGATTCGCTTTTTTTCGCAACCTTATTTAAAAAGGACGTATTTTAACCAATTGGCATGTTGCCAGGTGCGGTGTTCTCGAATATCACAGATGTTGGTCCCGTTTATCACAACGTGGCGCGACTGTAGCGATTATCTTGGGCGCTTTTCAGAAGCGGTCTAACCCTTTAATGGTGTTTTGATACATGTCGTTGGGCGTACTAGTTGTCAGCTTTCTGATTTAAATAGATAAAAAATGTTATAGGTAGAGATTTAAACACAATATCATACCATTTTGTCGCATAAACATGGTAATTCACTGGATGAATAGAGGTTGTTTTATACTCGTAAGTTATATTTCAGTTTTTTCCATTTTCCCCTCTTTGTTCACCAATTTTGTAATTTTCTATCATAATTTTCTATATCGATATCTTTTTGATGTACAGACTGGTAGCATATAAAATTTGTTATCATGACTGTACCTGAAATAATTTCAGAAAACAAACATATATTTATATGGCGATCCGCTAGTAGTTTTCCTAATATGGATAATATTACTGACACTGGAATGTTATCTCAAGATTCGCATATTTGATTATTCGTGTATATAAGCAATTTTTTCTGATGATAATGTTATTGAAATGAAGGAGCACTACTTGGATGTTACAATTTTGCTTTCTCTGTGAATGTTAGATTTCTCTTATACCTTGAAGGTTTATGAACTGTAAGTAAAGCGCATGTTTTTTATTTATTAACATTATTGAATCAGTATTTGCCGTCAGATACTTGTCATATGATCATTGATACAAAGAATTAAAGCGGTTTTAATGATATTCTAATTTTCAACCTTCAGGTCAAGATTTTCAATGTCATATGAACTTTAACAAGATCTGTTGGTTACATAATTATGATTCATTAAGTATCTTAGGCTACAAGATGGGTCAGACTAATTATAATAATAGTGATTACTTAGGTATGTTTTGTATATTGGATATTTCCGTATTTGAGATGGTCTGCACGATCATTTCTAAGCTAGGTTCTTTTTCCAGAAAGATGCTTCAGAAAATGGAGAAAGTTGAAGCTTTTACCACTGCATTTTGACTTTCGTTGGAATTCGGTAATTATAGTTGTAGCGGAAAAACTGAAGAATTTTTTTGAAAAAATGTTGGGCGTATGACCCACTCATAAAATGTATTGTGACATATATTCGATAGTAATCCGTATATAAACGATGGACAGTTCAGTTCAGTCATAAAAAGCGTTTGTCAATGATTGGGTGATCGTGAGCAAAAATTTACTTCGCTAATATATCTCAACTTATTATAAACACGAGATTTGGAATGTGATTGCGTGCCTTTAAGTTACCAGCGACATTAAGCACATCCCTCGTATACGGCCAATGCTGTGGCTGTTAGCTAATTGGAGATGCTGCGTTGCCATATCGACCGACACAAAGTTCCTTGGCCTATTGATTACACTTTCCCACAAGTTTTAATTTAAACCGTTACATTGAAGTACGCCGCCGATTCCCACGGGGTCTGAAAGTGGAACATATAAGTAAACTTTTTGTATTTTCAGGGTTATTCACTAATTTTTCAAGTTGATTATGATTATTTGATGTGCTAGTTGATACTTTGTATTTCGATTCCTTATTTGATTACTTTGATCTTGAATATGAACTAATAGTATTCATGGTAGTAGTAGTAATGGTGGGGAGGCGACGCCTGGGAACTGCTACCTTCGACCCGTTTTGTTAACCTCGTTCGACTCCACATGCTTGTTATTGGAAACTGATTGTTGAATACAGCAGCTCCAGCGATGCGAGGTACCTATTATTTGATCTTGCATAGATCTCATGTTTACATATTCATAATGATAGGCTGTAATTACAAGGGCGCACTCATGAGCCAAACTTAAGTAGAAAAGTTCATGTAAACGTTTCTTCTAATATTTAAAAAAATGCCAGCATAGAATTAAAAAATGGTTATTTTCAACATTTTAGGTAAATATTTTCCTTTTCTTAGATTTGAAAAAAATAGATTATAAGTAAATACATATTTTGAATTGATCAAACTGAAATGGGTTTAAACAATTCCTTGACATGTAATGGAGTGAGTTACAAAGAGACAAAAAAGTTCTACCTTTATCTGCTTAATTCAAAAATTTATATTTTTCTAAAAAAGCAGCGTACATTTTTTGTCAATATTCCAATTTAATTCAGAAAACTGACGCTTCCGTACAAATTGCACTCTAACAGCAATGCTGCCAAATAGAAGTGGAGTAATGTCCTTACAAGTAATAAAAAATATAGCGCATTCCCCTTTAAAACTTGAATTGTTTATTCTTAAACATAATACTAACCTGCTAAGGATACACTAACCAATTTTTTGTTATTTATAGGCCTATATAAATATAATTTTCAATTTAATGACTAGGAATTGATTTTTTATGACACTGGCTCCTGAGAGACCTGTGGTTGGAGAACATGCAAATAGGCAATCAGAGAATATGAATTGTTAACTGTAAAATCAGTGAACTCTAATTTTTCATCAATAAAATACATATAGGGTATTTCTTGATGATAGGCTGTATCTGCTAAGGCGCATTACTGAAACATTTAAGTAGAAAACTATAAACATGTGTCGAATAAAGTATCCTGTATAAAAAGTATAACTTTATTTGTATGACTTTTTAGTCAACCCATTTACAAAAAAATCTAGAACGAAAAAGTTTATAGTA